GTGTGGGATAAATCTTTCCTGCATATTCACTCATATATGAGTGATGAGTGAATAATTCATCAATGTATACATTGATGAATTATCTAGCCCAAGTAAAAGCTATCTATTAGTTCAAACTTGCAATTGACTTTATTGCTTCTTTTCTAGAATGTTCCGAACTTTACTTTGGTTAAACTTCCTGTCTCTTTCATCATTTTCTAACGGTGAACAAGATCAGTTTGATTTAAAAAATGCACGTCAAGCTCTTTGTCCAATTGTTGGCTTTCACGGGATGTTCTGTCCTGGCGATGAGACCACTACTATTCCTGCCAGTAAAAGATTAAAACTGGCCACATCTGAACCAGTGGAATTACCAAACAGTGTGGGTATGGGTATAGATATTAGTACCGGTGATGTATTATTACCGGTACTAGAATTGTCTAAAGGCAGTGAAATATGGACTGATAAAGAATCGGGAGGAAGGTTCCTTGTACCACTAGGATTAACATTAACAGAAAAACATAAAACTGAAGATTCTGTGAAAGTACGTCTATTTTCTACTGAAACAGATTTAGTTAATGTTTGGTTAAAAAATGCTGAAGAAGGTGGATGGACTGGCGGGCAACTGGCCGGTGTTGAAAATATAGCCGATGTCTACCAAAAATATTTTAAAGATGATCAGTCAATGGCTATAACACAGGATTTTCAAGTACTGTACGCAATCAATGTTACAAATGAATCAAATTTAAAGTTAAATAAATACGCGCAACGGGCTGTCAGTGTATTAACAAATGATTACGACCAAACGTTGTATGAAAGTTTTCTCGATGCATGGGGTACACATGTCATACTATCGACAAGAGTTGGTGGTATGAAAGAACAACAAATTCAATTAAAGAATTGTATTCTACATACCACAGATATTAGCGATGGTCTATCCAGAGAAGTTTTAGAAGATAATTTGAAACAAGAACTATTAGAACAACAACCGTGTATTGATCGTTACTATTATTCGAGACGTAAACGTTTATTAGATCATCGTATTGGAGGTAATATACTTCTGATCAATAATAATACAGATGATACAGATGATAATCTATGGAAAACGACTATTGTACAGGATCCAGCACTACTGAGTGTTCAAAAATACATACCATGGTATGACTTAATTGAAAACGTAAAAGTAAAAGATAATTTGAAGAAGGCAGTTAATCTACGCATTAATCGCCAGAGTTTGATACGTACACAACAGGTTCAACAGATACGCGATGAGCGTAGACAAATGGTGTTGAGAGCTAAAGTGATTCGACAGTCAAATGGCTATGAATGGACAGTTGGAAATGATATTGATTTGCAAAATGTTGTTCAATGTACAACAAAGTTGGATACCTCACAATTGATTGCACAGTGTAATACGGCTACAATGATGAGTGCATGTGCATTGGGTTTAAGGGATAGTATTACACAGACAATTTATATTGAAACAAAACAAGTACCTGTATGTTATGAACGTAATAATATGACGGGAACGTTTCGTGCTGTTGCACGACGACAGTATGGTGAACGAAATGACACAGTTCGTACTGGATTTATAAGTAAGCTATAGTTATTACTTCCTTTGAAGTATCTTGCTTTGAGCACAGAAAAAAATTTTCTTTTCTTATATTCAGATCGTGATGTGACTGGGGAATGGAGTGAAAGTGGTGGTTGTTCGACAATTGTTGATAAATGTGATTTATATTCTGGTTCAGATACAGTTTATCTGTGTAGTGGTTGCAACGTCGAGTGCCAAACAAATCAAAATACTCAGAGACCAATAAATTGTAAATGTTCGTGTCCGACGTATCCAATCGATTATGATGCGAAGCCCTATTTACCGTATTGTTAGAAACACACATAAATACTTTTTTAGCTTTTTGTGCTTTTACCGAAAGAAAAAAAGAAATAAATTTTCATAGCAATTTACAATACGTCCCAATATATGGGTAATATACTATAATTAGAGTAGTCCATACGATTGACTTGCCAATAGAACTGTATGTCGAATATTACTATTTCAAGTAGTGACTTCGTCAATGGCGTAACGAGGATTTTTAGACAGATGGGCCGTGTTCGGTAGAGTGGAAAAAAGTTGGTGGGTCGAACGTTTCCTGCTTGGGCAGGAAGCCCTATTTACCGTACTGTTAGAAACACACATAAATACTTTTTTAGCTTTTTGTGCTTTTAGCGAAAGAAAAAAAGAAAGAAATTTTCATAGCAATTTACAAATAATTGCTTCTTGGTTTTTCGGCTACATTTTTCTTAAGTTTGGAAGCTGCATTTCGGCACATGCTACACGATTTACAAAGAGATCATGAGTTCATCGTGACATCCACTAAAGTTAACGGTATGCCGAACTCGTACCAGAGAAAAACTTGTTATTAATTATATTTTCTGCTTTTATCCAAAGGATACGTTCAAGTCGTGTAAATCTGTTTTCAGAATCCTAGATCGAACGATAAATCAGGTACTGTACCAAAGAGAAATATTCTTACGTTCATACCGATGCTACTGGAAGTGCGCTGAAAAACTGCATGCCTACTTTCGTGTCCCCTTTTCAATATACGGTGTTTTAAATGTCAGCGGACATTTAACTTCGCCTGAAGTCAACTTTTCGTAAAACATATCAGTCCAATGATGTTTCATTTTCTGATGAGTGTAACTAAAAGCATTCTTCCACTCGTTGAAAGTAAGAACAAACGAATTTTGACCTCATTAGTAGTTTCCTGTTGCTTGGGACGCGTGTTGGGTCGCTGAGGTAGCGATAACGATGGATCGGAATGTAGAGATGAGTTATTTTCCGCTGGAACAGAAAAACACTCTGTTCGATCCAAATTAGTGTCATTTCTATCGTATTTATTATTACCTGTTCTGACTTTCTATTTTTGGACGAGAAATTTAATCTGATTTCGATCTCGACACCAAATGTTGTAGAGAGAGACGCGTACATTCACTTTGATCCAGCTTTAACAAACCAGTAAGTTCACTCCAAACAGAATCTTCCTGGCACATCTTCGTATAGAGTCTCCATGCCTCTTTCTTTAATTTGTCAGAGCGATCTGACCGAGAGATGCGATATCAGTAGCTAACTGTTCTACAGTAATTCGTTCGCCAATAGACTTTTTATCATTTTTGAAACGAAAATTCGCCATTTCGTTTTCTTCCCAATACTAAATAAAACTACGAAGTTTTATTTTATTAAAAATTTGTTCTTCTAAAGTCGTAGCACTTTAGAAGAACAAATGTTTCCTACATCACGGACCAGCAGTGCAATCAATATGTGTTCAAATAACAGTATTACTTTCGCGATTCGCTGAGTTAATATGAATAGATATTAGAAGTGTTCTCTCTCCAGATATACACGTAGAAAAAGAAAAGGGAAATGGTCCAATGAGAACGATGAATATGTTAAACATCCAATAATTTCCTTTCTCGCTATCCATAATTCACCCTTGAATGCTCCGTGATCATTCCTACACATTTATCAATCATAATCTATGCGACAGCGCTGGCGTGTTCTTCATATCTCTGAATTAGGTGATCACACACCTCCCACTTGAAACAAATCCACCACATGGTCGCACTAAGGTAAAGCCAGAGGATTATATTATATGATATATAAAAACTGCAGATTATCAAATCGTCCACTACACAGAACACTATCAACCAGCTTACTACCTCACAAGTCTTTTAAGAAGTCAATCAAACGTAACGGAAAATACGGAAAAGTTAAATGCGATGAATTTTAGAAACTAATATATGCATTTTTTAGAGCTCGACGATTTCTACTGGGATCCATCGAAACGGAGTTTGGGTCCGGTTATGGAGCGAATCCATTTAGAAAATACTCGAATCCTGACCTAAGATATCCTACGTTAGTATCTGGTACCTTTAAAAAAGGGACTAAAAGTTCTGGTCCGCGTATTTAATCTTTATCGTTCTGCGAATGTAGTGAATGGAAAAAGCAACCCGTCATTATTGAAGGATTTGTTGGCGTTGTAAAACTACTTGTAAATGCATTCCTAAGTAACTTCGGTCTGTTCTTTGTTTTTGTATCTGTTTAACTTCTTCGCCTCAATGAATGTCTTTTCTTCAAAAAAAGCTTTTCATCTTTTATTACAAATTTCTCGACTAATTTTCGTAGCGACTACATTTCCTAGCGGCCATATTTCGTGGCGACTAATTCTCCGCGACCAATTTTCGCTCTACCTTTTTCTTTCGACCATTTTTCGTAGACCCTTTCTTTTTTTCCAAAAAGAGTGCTACATCATACTTCTCCTCTTGATATTTTTTTCTTTGATTGGATAGGTTTCGCCACATTTTGTAAATTGATAGCAGGTGATAGAAGCCGTGGATACGCGCAATAAAGATCATCACTAATTATTACAGCTTATTTGTATTTCCATTTCCGATGAAGAAATAAAGAAAGTATAGTAGTGGCCGGCCTCTGTACATCTTGGTGCGAAAACTTCGTTAATACAATAAAAAACACTGATTTTTGTTACACTGATTTTCCAAATCTTCTCTAAAGAAAGAACCAGTAATTGTGAGCTGCAAGTTGGGCGAAACTGTCTCTTTCTCTTCCGGTCGCAATGGTTTCGGTATGAAATTAGGACAAAGATTATTTTGGTGCCGATAATAGTCTCTGATATAGCTGTTGTAAAATTCAATTTGTAATTTCATCTAAAAGTCCTGTTTCACAAACTCCGGTTTTGTAGAGCAAGCATTTTCCTACAAGATGAGCTATGAAGGTATTCTTCATCCAGTACCTATAAAAAAAAGATTTCTTAAAAGTCCCATGATCGATAATAACCGATTTAGGACTCGTCGTCAAAAAACGATTGGGCAGAAATAGAAAAACAGAAGGCTTCCGCAATATCTCATCTTGTAGAAAAATGTTTTCTCTACAAAACCCGGTTGCTGGAAAAATTTTAGTATTCGAACTTCTCATGCAATCAGTTTCGGAAAAAGATGGAATTTAGCGGTTATAATAATTGATGCGGGCCTACTCGTATTTCAATCAAAAAATTATTTTTTATACTTCACAGTCACTGTCGCTCTTTATGTCAGGTAATGATTATGGAGCCCAGCTTGAAAGGGTTCGATTTGCAGTAATCTCTTAAACCACTCGATAAAATACATCAACACCCCATAATAGAGCGATATCCCAAATAGAACGACACCCCAAAGAGTTTGATGTGCGGGGCGCATTAAAACGATTGTCGTACTATTGTGTCCCCGGATTTAAACGAAAATATAGAACAGAGCACAAAAACAACATCGTGAATAATAAATAATTTTCGTGAAAGGATTCTATCCATTATGACATACGATGAGATGCTCAGAAACACAAGGCCATCTAAGTCCTTTAAACTTCAGTATTTGGGTTTCTGGAGTGACTATAAGCCAATTTGTAAGCCATAACTTTTCTCATCAAATCATGACAAGTTATTTAGAATTAATTAAAGTCCAAAAACTAACTGCTTTTTTCCTTCGGACAAATTAGAGCGACACCCCCAATAGTATTATAGTATAGTAGTCGCAAAGTACCGAGAAATTAAAAAAATGTAAATATTAGCTTGAGAAATACATTTACACCGCTTAGCCAGCAAAAGCATTACAGATGCAAGAAGATAATCACACAAAATGGCCGGGCCAGAAAAATGTTTAGTTGGGCCGAGTCGAGCTTGGTCCAGAAACTTTCATTATGAGACCGGGTCGAACCAAAAGTTTTCGGTCCGTGCGGATCTCTGCTGTGTATATTTGTTTAGTCGCTTTATGTGGCAGTATATCCAAAGGAGCATTTTTTGAACAAGTATCTAAGAACGAGGTCTAAAATTTAAAAAACCCATGTAAAAAATTGATCTTTATAGAAATATTGCAATGGATAATGATACTGATAATGCGGAGTTATCATCAACTGATTTGAAAAAGAAACAGTTATTAAGCAACTTGTCAGCAAATTCAGAATCACCTCCAAACATTGAGAAGAGCAAACGAAAGAACAAAATCAATCTCAGGTTCGCCAAGATCAGGCGTTATTCGTGGTGGGTCGGTCATACTCGTGCACGCCCAAGTAGCAGATTAAAACAATCACATGTCAGTAATCGGAGCCAATTAACAAAAATAAAGAGTAAAATGCTACTTACGAGGGAACCTCTGCCACTTGAAAATCGCTTTTGATTCAAAAGCCAGTGGACAATAGGTTACCGACTGTGCTGATTCCGAATATGAACATGATTTTTGCCACTAGGCCTTCGAGGATTCCGGTTTTCTATTTACAAGACAAACCTTAAATTAATTTCTTCTTATTCCTGTCGCTTTGAGCCGACAATGAATACTTAGGGCTTTTCTTGTAAATTCTATAGTTTTTCAAGGAAAGGTCGTGTAGAGCTGGATGTTTTTTTTAGAATTTGCGGGCTGCAATTATGCCTCATTAAGAAAGGTTTGGGTTATTTTTTGGAGTTTCTGGAAAACTTGTTTTCTAGAAAACTGGGCCTTAGAAGGCCCAGAGGTAAAAATCATGTTCATATTTGACATCAGCACAGGTGATAACCTACTAGTTTTTGAACTAAAGCGATTTTCAAGTTGGCGAGGTCTCCTCGTTAGTTTTTTTCCATTTTGTACGGTACAAACAAAGCAAAAAAACAATAAATTTTGCTTACGAAAATGAAGCTTTTGCCAAGATCGTTATTGTCTTTTCTTCCCCTAGACCACAAGGACAAGAAAAAAGCGAACAAATGTTGCTTCGTTTACCATCCGAGCTCTTCCTTATACATACTTCTTTGAATTACTCAAGCGTCTTCCTATCTAGATTCATACTGAAAGTTTTATTTTCTCTTTTAGGTT